GTTGTTGTGTGCCACTACTCTGCTTTAGATGTATTGATTATGTGCCAAGGTCCAAGGGACTGGAAATCGTCACAGTATTTTATTGGGCCCCTCCTTTCTCCTTTAGGTATGATCGGAAGGCTAGAGGGGGACAAGTTATTAAATACTTTTCCTTCAGTTATGTCACACTTTGGTAAAGTTGTATATTCCTTGAAAAGCAGACATTTGGTATGGAGAACTCTCAGAGTACATTTCAAAATTAATTTCCCTCCCTTGCCCAAAAACAAAGATTTTTCTTCTATCTTCACTGTGAAAAACTTTGTGTCATTTGGGGTAAAAGTCATAGAACAGTAACAGATCTGTAAGTCTGTCACCTCAGGAGTTCCTGTCTGTTTCTCTCTCTGTTTTCTCTGTGTTCTCTCTCTGTGTCTCTCTGTCTCTCTCTGTCTCTCTGTCTCTGTCTCTGTCTGCCTGTCTCTCTCTCTCTCTCCCTCTCTTCCCCACCCCCTTCTCCCTCACACCCCCATCTGGAAACTTTAGAAGTCATTCTTCATCCACATTTTGTGTGTGTGTGTGTGTGTGTGTGTGTGTGTGTGTGGTGTGTCTGTGTGTCTGTGTCTGTGTGTCTGTGTGTGTGTATGTCTGTGTGTGTGTGTGTGCCTGCATGTATGTAGGCTGAGACAGAATCTCCCATTGGCCTGGAATGCCCCAAGTAGGCTCCCTGGCTGGTCAGCAAACCCTTGGGATTGGGATCTGCCTGTCTCTACCTCCCCAGTGCTGGGATTCCAAGTTTATGACACTATGCCCAGATTTTTTAACCTAGGTTCTAGGAATTGAAGTCAGGTCTTTGTTGATTGCACAGCAAGCACTTTACTGACCAAGCTGTCTCCGCAGCCCCCAGGAATTTTTAGCTCTTAAGCTAGTCCATATTCAGCCTCCAGTAATTAATCAAGATTAAGTGTCCTTACATTTAAATTCAGGCGCTGGGATCTAACTAATAATATTACCTTTTATGGATCACATAATCTCTGAGCCCCAGTGTTCTCATCGATAAAATAAAAATGATTCCAAACACGTATAGCTGCATCATAGTTGAATAAGAGGGTGCATGTAAGCATCTTTACCATATATTCTGCCATGTACATTGAAGGTGCCTAATGAATATTAATTTTCCTTTTACTTTAAAATACCTATATTTGAAAATACTGATTTTAGCCCAAGCCATTACGTAGTACTTATCCTAGGAACATAAAGCAAAAGGATGTTCCTTTTATAAAATATTTGCCATTTTTACAGCATTGGAGAAAACTGCCTTGAAAAAAATATGACCTGTTTCTATAAGGATTCTACAGACCTCAAAAGAGATTCCTTGGCTCATTTATTTTCCCTGTCTTTCAACCCAAAGTATATTCTCCCTTTAAAAAAATACTTGAACTACTACTGAAAAGGCCCATAAAAGCACATTTCACTTTGTATACGTCTGAATGCAGGATCATCAGCATCATATTCTAAGGGTAGTCATTTTGCCACAGTGATAGGCTATATGTCTGGGATGGGAGTAGTAGAAGTTATTGAACTGTTTAAAGAGAGGTATAGTCTGTTCACTTCCCCCATCCAACTATATCTGGAGAACAGCATTCTTCAGTGAGCATCAGTATTTAATGAGAACTTTGATAACACTAGCACAATATGGTGATCTAGATGGTAAAGGACACATTTAGAAATCTAGAAATTGGACTGGCGAGATGGCTGAGCTTGCTACCAATGACAGCCTGAATTTGATCCCCAGGATTCACATGGTGAAAGAAGGGAACTAACTACTGCAAATTGTCCTCTGACCTCCATACACACACTGTGCATATACATACAGACAATAAATAAAATGTAATAATAATAAAGAGAAAGCTAGAAACCTTGCATATCAGGTACATGTATTAACTCAATTTGTTAAATCTATTTATTTGCATCATGTTATCTCTGTAGATTATAAAATCAGTATAGAACGGTTTAATGACAAATTTTTCTTGATAGCTCTGATTTACAAGGTTGTTCCAGTGTTTATTGGATATGACTCCAGTACCGCTGAGGAAAAGAAAAAGAGAAAAACCGCCTCTAAAGTGTACATTATTGTCAGACCAAATACCGATGGACTTAACCGCCTTATTCCTGCCCCTTATTTCATGAGCCCTCCAGTGACTGAGAAAATCCAAGCATCCCTTTTCACCTCGTGTTGCTTCCTGTGAGATCCCCTGCTACCTTTTCTTGAGCACTTATGGTTTGGTATGCTGTCCTGTGATATAGACACAAGGAATTGGGCAAAACCCAGAGATATGCTAAGTGGATTCTGAGCTGTAGAATCTGCTACAGGGAGCACATGGGAGCTTGATGTTCAGTATGCACCCCAGCCCTTTCCCCCTGCAATACATATTGTTGTTATTCTTTCTGTAAGAGAGTTCATGATCTTTTGTAATTTTCTTTTTCTATTGATCCACTACTGCTAGTAACAGAAACTTTTTTTAAAAAGTTATTGGCAGGAGAATCTGTGGGATTTTCCTGCCATATGTCTTGTATATTAGAGAATGAATACACCACATTTCAGGTAAAATTTATTTCACAGAAAATTCATTTTGCAGTGGCCTGGATGATTGAGATCTGTAGGGATAACCGATGTGCAGAGCAGGCCTCTCCCTGTTCTTACTTCATGCTGCCCCAAGGCAAAGGTGAAAGTGCCACTCTACTTTATTGGTCTTTGAGTTGTAATTTCTTCTGGTATATTTTCATTCAGAGGTGAGAAAGACAGTGAGAAAATGATGAGTTTAAAATAGAACTAACTTTCTACAAAGTTTTGAGAAAGTGTGTGCGGAGGTGCAAGTCTGACAGCAGCTAGGGTGTAACTGTCACCTAAGATTGTTGTAAAAAGTAGCTGTGGCAGCTGGGCGTGGTGGTGCATACCTTTAATCCCAGCACTCCGGAGGTAGAGGCAGGCAGATCTCTGGTGTACTTGTAAATGCTTTGTAATCTCTAAACCATTTAGCCTCTGAATAGTTCTTTCTGAGACAAAGTTTTACTCTATAGTCCTGGCTGGTCTGGAATACCCTGTATTGACCACACTGGCCTTCAACTTGTAGCAATCCTCCTGTCTCCACTTCCCAAGTGTCGGTGTTATAGGAGCAAGCTACCATACCTGGCCATTTGTGATTAGTTCTGAGACAAGGATATATCATTTCTCTCCATCTAGCCTGTACTTAACGTACCCCTAGGTTGTAGCAGAGAATCTAATATGTAATAACATTTCTAACTGAAATTAAAATTAATAAATAATTTTAAATCTCTAATTTCTGGTGGTTTTAAGCAGTTGAGTGACTGGTCCTTTGAATTAGGCTAGATCTCCTGGCTTCATTTAACATTTGGATTCAAGGATTGAGAATAAAGTGTAGCTAGAAAGAATGCTATAAGACAGATAAACTTTCTAGGAATTGCTTAATGTTCTGAATAAAATAAGACAAACAAATTAGTATGCAGTAATTGATGGGAAGGAAAAATTTCCCCCAGGATCACACAGTTGAAAAACAGAAGTAATCAACACATACTAGTATATCCCTATGGTGCAAAAGCTGCCCTCAGACCACACACATTCTCAAAAACCTTTGTAGATGAGTAAGTTCTGTTTTAAATTCATTTTTACTCTCCAGTGGGCATGGGAGTTCTATAGAAGGGTTTCACTGGCATCTGTTCAACATTGCTGGGCATGAGATGCATCCAAGAGAGGATTCTAGGGAGTATGTTCTACCTTCTGAGCGATCTAGGGCAGATGGCAGCAGTGCGATCTAGAACTGACTTCCACCACAGATGGCTGAAATGTTGGACTAAGTGATCCCAAGGAATACAATCTCTCTAGTAGCCTTAAAGTGTTAATAATTTTATTCTTCAAGGCTCATGAATTAGCATCATTTAGAGTACATCTGTCATGGACCTTTGCATTTGGGAAAGAACTGAAAGAAAGTGCTAAGGTAATTTTAAACATCTCAGAAAACTTGGTTAGTTTTGTTTGTTTTTAAACTATTTCTTGAAAAAATCTGTTAATTTGGTTGCTTTCTTTTTCTTTTCTCATATACATGTGGAGCTCCAATTATTTGTGATAATTTGTGTCTATAATGCTTCTGTTTGGAGAAAATGAGATGGCTACATTACTATTTCCTCGCTCAAACCCATGATACTAATTGGGCCTTATGCGAAGGACTTGGGGCAGCAGATGTAATCAAGAATTTGTGGTCTCTGTAGAGTACATAAGGCCTCCAAGTCATGCAGAAGCTGAACTTACCAAGGAAGCTTAGCAGTTATCCTTCCAGATGTTCAACTTGCAATTACTTTCAATATCAAATGTATAGATAAGTGCATGGATTGTTTTTCCACCCAGATACCCATTCAGTAGATAAATTCCATTTCCAGGTCTGGCAGTCTGTCAGATAACTCCCTTTAAAGTTATCTGGAGAAAAATCTACCAAAAAAATGATTAAATTCAGGTTAGCTTTTAGTCTTGGCTAATAACTTGCCTCTCCTCTGGGGACTACACAGGCTCAAATTGTTATGTGAGTTTATGCAGTGTGTTGTCAAATATTTATCTCTGTCTGAAAATGAAATGTCCTGAAATTCAATTTCTTTTTGACTAAATAAATCAATGTGAGAAAGAGAAATAACTTCTCATTTAGCCAATTTTTAATCAATGTGTTCATGAAAGGCTACAATGTTAACTGAATCCTGGCTTTTGTCATTTGAAATATAATTTGTGTGTTTAAGAATTTATGTGCCCATCAGAATTTGAACTTCACATTCAGAAAGGAAACTTGATTCACAGGAGCAAACAACTGCAGGGGCTTACACAATGCCAGAAATGAATGTGAGTCAATTATTTAAGGCAAATGGGACCTTAATCACCAAAGCAATAGAGACATATCAAATTCAAGTACACCCTGGATTCCATGCTTTAATTCATGGACATGTCTTTATCTCTTATTTTACAGAGGCCTTTGAAATTGTTGTTCGCCATGCCAAGAACTACACCAATGCCATGTTCAAGAACAACTACCCGAGCCTGACTCCCCAAGCTTTTGACTTTGTGAGTGAATTTTTCACCGATGTGTCTCTCTACATCTTGGGTTCTGATATCAACGTAGATGATATGGTTAATGAACTGTTTGACAGCCTGTTTCCAGTCATCTATACCCAGCTAATGAACCCAGGTCTGCCCGAGTCAGCTTTAGACATCAATGAGTGCCTCCGAGGAGCAAGACGTGACCTGAAAGTATTTGGCAGTTTCCCCAAGCTTATTATGACCCAAGTTTCCAAGTCATTGCAAGTTACTAGAATCTTCCTTCAGGCTCTGAATCTAGGAATTGAAGTGATCAATACAACCGATCATCTCAAGTTCAGTAAGGACTGCGGCCGTATGCTCACCAGGATGTGGTACTGCTCTTACTGCCAGGGACTGATGATGGTTAAGCCTTGTGGTGGCTATTGCAACGTGGTCATGCAAGGCTGTATGGCAGGTGTGGTAGAGATCGACAAGTACTGGAGAGAATACATTCTTTCTCTCGAAGAACTCGTGAACGGCATGTACAGAATCTATGACATGGAGAATGTACTGCTTGGACTCTTTTCCACGATCCATGATTCCATCCAGTATGTCCAGAAGAATGGAGGCAAGCTGACCACCACCGTAAGTGTCAGCCTTACATTTTCAAAGCAACTGGCCTTCACTGTGGTGAAGGGTAGCCTCTCCAGCAACAGGTGCTGATAGAGAGAATAATAGAGAAAGAAAACTTCAAGGGCAGGCAAGGATGACAGATGGAGTGAATGAGCTCACACAGAGATAGGGAACATATAAAACTACAGGCTACAGAGTCATAAAACATGGCTTTGACTTTTAGCTCCGCCTACTTCCTTGTTGTGGCATATTGAGGACTAATGTTATCTTCATGAGTTTTATTTTTCTAATTCATGAAACAAAAACTAAAAACATGTTCTTCATAGGAAACGCATTGCATGTGTTCAAGCACTTAGCATCTGTGTGGTCCATGATAAGTCTTCAATAAATATTAGCTATGATTACTGTTATTGTTGTATCGTAAGCCTCATGGTAATACTCTGAAGTGAAAGACATCATCTCTATGCTATAAACAAGGAAGCAGAAGTTTAGTGAAATTACACATTGCCCAAGGGCCCCCCTAGCTATCAATAGTGGAAGAGCCATGATTCAGAAACAGAAAACTTCTCCCTCTAATTCGGTTATTATCAACTTTTATTATGATTTCACTCTTGTGGTCTTAATCACGTATACCACATTACTATGTTGAAGAGTGACTTTAAACAGAAGAGACCCAGCCTACTAACTAAACCCACACAAGAACCAAAGAAAAGCAAAACATCCTTGAACCCCAGCCTTAATTAGATGGGTCTAAGCCTGGTGGGATTTGTTTGATAAGGGAAGGACAGTTCTGCAAATGAGGCAACAGTTTGCTTGGCTTTGATCAGATATTATCATAGAACCACAGGAGACAGCCACTTCCAATGTAGCCTGGAACATATAGCCAGGAGCTTCCAGTTATGTCCTCTTAAAGTATTGACTGATTCCTAATTGCTGCCCACTTTGTAGGAATGTGTGGCAGATCCGTAAAATACACAGTCATTGTTGAGCTCCTGCTACCTCTCAGGCGTCCTGTTAGCCAGTGTGCATGATTTTTATTTTATGGTGATCCATGAGATGGGTTTCAATGTTGTATTCATTTCACACAGGGAGGATGAAGCTTAGAGAGCTTAAGTACTTTGCCCAAGATCTCAAAGCTAGTTAAGTAGGAGGAGCTGAGATTCAAACCTGGCCTCAGCTGGACTCTGCTGACTCAGACTCTTAGCCTCTCTATGATACAGTTGCTGCATACTCTGAGCCATTGTTATCCACAATGTAGAGAGCAGATTGGGCCAGTTAGCCTTGTCTTTAAACTTTGGAAGTGCAGTCATAGGTGTAATTGGTTTCCTTGGCTAATTAAACTAGTAAGGAGGACAGAATGATGCAACCCTTGGTGTGGCTACTTATGGAGCTGCTCTAATTGCCCGATTCACGATGTTAGCCATTTAAAACCCATTTGCTGAGAAAATATTTTATAGTAAAATGAACAGACATGTCCTATGTAGCAATGATATTTTTCAGTGGCTAGTCCCTTGACTGCTTTATAATTTGAGGCCAGATTCTGGGGCCTTCTGTAAGAGTAAGTTGCACAGAACTAGAAAAATGAAAAGTAAGTGCATTCATATGTTCATTCACTAATATTAATTGAGGGCCATTGTGTGTTAGATACAAACCAAAGGCATCAGGGTATGGGAATATCTTTAGTAAGAGGGAAAATAAGAAGACAACTTTAAGGGCAAGGTGCAGGAGTATTTAAAGGTTGTGTGTGAAATTGGCTATTTGACTGCAATATAATGGATGTTGAAAGCCTGTATCCTCCTCTAGTGCTTTTAAATACAAAAAAATGAAGTGAGGAGCTGCTAAGAAATTAAGTGTATAAATGACATATGCCCATAGCCCCATCACTCAGGAGATTGAAGCATGAGGATTATGAGTCAGAAAACTTCCTGGGCTACATACTAAGACCCAGTCTCCACAAACAAAAGAAGAAAAAGAATAAGAAAATTGAGTTCTCTAGTCTCATGTGGTCTAGACAGGAAGGATTATTCAGTGAATATTTATTAATATCTGCTTTATGTACGGAACTTTGTTAAGTGCTTAGTATTCAAAACTACCCAAGACATAGTTCTTAACCCTTTTTTTTTTTGAGTTGGGGTCTCAGTATGTAGCCTTGGCTGGCCTGGAACTTGCTCTTAAACCATGCTGTCCTTAAACTTACAGAGATCCAACTATCTCTGCTTTCTGAGTGCTGGGATTAAAGAGATGCACCACCATGCCTGGAGTAATTCTTTAGTCTTGAGCACGTCACAGTTGCATTGGTAGCTGGACCTGCAACTGAATAAATTTCCCCGTAGTGAAATTTTACTATGACGTGAATGTTGGAAGGGCTGTATGAGAAATTAGCAAATTAATGTCATTGATTTGAAAATGAAGAAATAAAGTCCCAGGAGGCTTACCCAAAGTTATTTCACTAATAAAAAGAGTCAGAAGCAGAATCCAAAGCTTTTCTGCTACTACAATCTAGTATTCTTTCTGCCATATCAGTCTTCTCCCTCAATAGAACCTTCCAGACTTCACTGTAAAAGCACTATTAGGATTTTGCAAAGACATACTGAACTTAAATTGGATAGCTATTTCAGACTTTCAAATGTGCTACATTCTAGGTGCACATGGTGGAGTGTGCATCGTGCACATACCTGGCATGCAATGGGGGAGTACATTCATGTCATTACCATTCAGAAGGAAAGGCTGCGACTGTCAAGAGGTGTTCAGTGATGCATTCCCTTTCCATTTTGGCCATTAAGGGCCTGATTGCTCCAGGCTCCCATCTAGTTATGAGAGCGTGAAGTCTGCCATCCTCTGGGAATGCCTGAACAAAACTAGAAAGCATGTGTATACTCACTCTTTCCTGTTATATGATCACAAAGACGATGTAATCTGTATCACATGGTGGGGGTAGGGGACTCACTGACCAGGTATGTTCCAGCCCATAGTCTATATGGGCCAGAAGTGGGCAGAGTAGTTTATGAGGGTGAGGGAAAGTGTGGGCTTGGTAAACTGCAGCACTCTATTCATGCTGACAAACCTACAGAATAGCAAAACAAAAGCTGATCTAGAACTAAGCATTAACGAGATTCTGAAGGAGCACCCCCCCCCACTTCATTACACTATTAAAATAGAAAGCCCCACCAGTCAGACCCGTCTAAGGCTCAGTTGTGCTGAGAGCTATCTTTCAAACATTCTGTTCCAAAGTTGTGCTGGGGAAACCTTAGCTAGCTGAAAGTTATGAGATAAGGTCTATACACAGGGATGTTGCCCAGTTGTTTTGGTGCCTACCATCCGTCTGACATTCCGAAGCTGATTTTGGACTTCTATGTGGATGTGACACTCTTAAGCTTTCCTAAGTATGTTGCCACTTTAGTTTCTCCAGTGGTAGTCCTCAATCCCTTAGACTACCCATTAGGTGCATGCAGACATGTGTTGGGGTTTTGTTGCTGGCTGCACCCCTGGAAGTGGTAGGTGTTCAGTTCCCAAACTTGGCTCTTCAACACAGTCACCTAGAGAACTTGTTTAACAGTCTTCTGGAGTCTAACTCTGGAGACTCTGATAACACAATTCTATGGAGAGCCTAGAGAATTTGTCACTTAACTAGAGTCCCAGTTGATACTGATGTTCCTTTAGGACCTCATCTGACTATCTTATTGAAAGATAAAGAAAATGACGTTCAAAAGTTGGAAGTGACTAACTAGTCTACACACCACAGATACTTTTTGAAAAGCTTGAACCATCTCTAAACTTGATTTTAAATGAATTGATTCGTTCAGAAATGGCAAGTCCCCAATAAGCCTCAGACCAAACTTCTAGGTAACAAATGGACAATAGTTTTTTCTTACACTTTCTTTTAGTACTGGAAATATATCCTAGGGCCTCACACATTCCATGAAAGTGTTCTGTTACTGAGCCTTAACCACAGTTCCTTATACTTATTTTAGTATTTTACTGCAAAGCAATTGAATTAAACAGCTAAAAATTTATGTAAAAACATATGTATGCATGTGCAAGAAGATAAAGGAAGAGAATGGGGGAGAGAAAAATTCATACTGAAAAGTCCAAGAAAGTATTAAGAAGGTATTTTCATTCTCCATTTTGATCCTCTATATGCATTTGCAAACTAGATACATATCTTAGCCCCAAATGAGCATTGAATCTTTGATAGTATTTGTGAGAAAATATGACTATAAAAATTATCAATATGTTATTGAATTCCACATATTGAATTACCTTGAAGCAGTGAGAGATATGTACAGTTTACAATAAATACATTTATTATTAGCACTGTTGTTACATACAAGCTGCTGAATGCCATGTCTCTTTGTTTGTTTGCAGTGTGGAAGATAAAACCCAACTTTGTGCACATGTTAGGCAACCACTCTACCAGTGAGCTGAATTCCTGGCCCCTGTGAAGCATCTTTTTAGCATTCAATTGTTTCATTCTCAAAATCAGTTTGATTATCATTACCATATACCTACGTGCAGATTATATGCACATGCATCGTGCGCTTCATGTATAATTCATCCATTTCTTAAATGTTGGATGTTTATCCTTCTCCCAGAAAGATTTCCAAAACTTTCTGTGGTTGATTTCATTTACTGTCTTTACCCGCCCCCTAAAAGTAATTGCTCATGTGCCCGTGCGTGACTGTTTGTGCTTTTCTTTTTCCACTTGTGCTTATGTAGTTTATGGATTCATCTCGGCAAGTCTCTGGGTTAGTACTTCCACTCCACAATTTCATTCCGTTGGCTTATTATGTTTTGTTGAATGTTGTGCAAAACTGCAACCTTTTCTCCCACCACTGTTTCTCTCTTTCTTCCTTTATTGTAACACTCATTTTAGGTCTCTCTGAAAGAGATTCTGGAAACATTTATTGAGCATTTTGTTGTGGAGGCACTGTGATGGGCAGTAAGCATCATGGACAGGCATTGTATGGAGGGTCTGCAAAGATGACCATGAATGATTCTGATGCCCCATTCTA